AAAAATTAAATCCAGTGTCTCATGTGATCTAGTGGTTTCGATTCCTGGCTTTTACTCCTCCAACTCTCGGGATTTGTTGTTGTTGTTGATGTTGTTGTTGTTGTTGTTGTTGTTGTTGTTGTTGTTGTTTTGTTGTTGTTGATGGGCGTGGGTGGTTGGAGGGTGCTACTGGTAGGTCCTATTTCTTTACTTTCCCTCTGTTGTTTATGTCTGTCTGTCTTACTTTTCCTTGCACTAAATGACCATTATTGTGTCGATGTGATTCTCTGAACACGAAGAAAGAAACAGAGTTGTTGATGTTGTTGTCGTCGTCGTTGTTGCTTGCTGTTATACTTCTCTTCAGTACACTGTTCTTCCGAGACTAAAAACTTGTGGAAGTAGATATAGACAACAACTTTTATCAATAGAAAGTGATTGTACTTAAAATAACTCAGAACTGTCGGTTTAAAAAAAATAATATAAAACAAAATGCTCAAAGGCACTTCCAATGAAATCCTCTTTTTGGTTTTGTTTGTGTTGTTGTGGTTCTTTAAAAAAAAAAAACAACGAACATTTTCTTCGACACATAACATATATTTGTAGTGATTATTCCGGGTCTCAGCTGTCCTTGCCTTACCTCAGAAACCGAGGGTCACGTCCTCTGGTGTGTAAGAAACAAATGTTCTCGTGTTTGATTGCATGAAGCTTGCTAGAACTGGAAAGTTGAGTATTACGGACTTTGCATAAGTCCCAGCAGCAGTTTCTGGCCATGTCCATTCTTCCCATCATCCTCATCCAACAGATGGCGGAGATACATAGAGGTTCTTAAATCTAACATTTCTGCAGAAGTCCATGAGCTCTTCTTTTCTTCGGATAGCGTTTTGAGGACCCGTGTTTGTTCATTCTATCACGCATCCTTCCTCCTGTGTCTGCGGTGTAGTGGTTAGGCGATTCGCCGTCGCACGCAGAAGGCCTGAGATCCTTTTGGGGAGAATATTTAGCGAGTACCTTGGGTCTTGCTGCTGGGATGTTGCGTCCGTAGCCCGAACTAGCCGTGGCAGGTAGGTTCGAAGCCCGCCTCCTAAATGCTCGACGGGGGCGTAAAAACGCCTGCATTATAAAAAAAAGTCAACAAAAAAGTGCTGTATAAATCCACGAGGTCGCCTGTCCTTCGGATAGCAGTTTGAGGCCCGGTATTTGTTCGCTCCATCACATCATTCCAATAGCCAGGACACACGTAGCTCAATTCCCTTTTCTTCCTCTTGCCATTTCTGGGAAGTTGGAGGTAACCCTTGTCGAGGTAAATATTGAACTTGTGGCTTATGGTAAACTTACATCCCGATGATGGCGAGTGAAAGTGTTTAAAAAGGCGTGCAAATCGCCGATGCGTTGTTGGTGTCCTTCAGGACAGCCCGGATCCGGTTGCGTGCAAGTTTAAAAAAAATGTTTTTACTGACTTGCGAATATTATGTAGAACTGTTTCAGTAGAGAGTGATGCGTGCGTCATCGAGTCTCCGACGTGTGGCTGTCTTGGTCGTTGACAGAAAGTTTGCACCTGGTACTGGTAAGATGGAGTTATTAAGTCTTATTATTTTAACGAACTGGATTGTTTGATCTTCCACAGCATCTGTATGTGGTGTCGGTGGTCTAGTGGTCAGGCTGTTGGACTCATAACCGAAAGGTCGTGGATTCAAATCCCGAGAGGGGCCCGACGTTGTGTCTCTGGGAAAGGTACTTTACACGAATTTACCTCACTTCACCCAGGTGGGAATGCCTTTAGACAGCTAAAGTCTTTCCAGTTTTTAGTGTTTGAGCGTTTAATTTAATCGGCTGTTTTCAATGCATGCTTCCCTGGAAATATAAACACCTAACAGTGTTGATAAGGGCGTTAAACCTATACCATTTTGGGTAATAGACCGTAAAGCGCATAGAGCGTACTGCCGAGCAGGGGCATGCGTTGTACGAATTCTGTTTATTATTTTCACTCCAACATTATTTTCCTTTACCACACCTTACTAGACACTGTTTTTAAATGACAAGCAGAAAATATACCTCACTCTTCAGAACGATAACGTTAACGTAATTAGTTAGAAATATAAGAATACGATTATAATAGTATAGTTGCCATGGAAAGAGGTTTGACGTTATTTGATTTGTTAGAGTTCCACCTCCCTGGCCGTGTTCCGATCTCCCTGATCTTCTGCCCGTGCCCTTTTGTTTGCCAAAAAGCTTGGCATAGCCGTGTGCCAACTCCTTGAATTTGTTTGTATTTTTGTATTCCCATTGTTTGTTTGTTGTTCGGATTTTTAGTCGAGGGGTGGCGGTTTAGGGGAGGGGGTCTGGGGGTGTACAGGTATGCTACTCCATTCTCACGGTAAAATTGATTAACTCAGCTCCTCATCATCTCCCCCCTCTGTTTTCCCTGTAAGAGAACCGACAATGGCATTTTGACTTAACCTCAACGTTGTGACTTGGTAATTATTTATTAGTATAATAACATAATACCCGTATAGATGGCCGATGAGGGTTCCTGCTACAACCGCGTGATTGGCTCTGATAGGTTCTACTGCTTTTGTCAATAATGCCCTTTTTATTATCTTTTAGCGACACCTTATTTTTGTTTTGACTTATTTTTCGCATTTTTCTTCGGATCAACCCCCTTTTTTTGTGTACACATTTATTATTTTTCTTCCTTTTTTGTGGGCATCCCAGGATATACACATCCAAATCTTAGTACCATGAGCAACATAAATATTGCAGATTTATTGCCCGAAGAATGTTCAGACGGTCCTCCTGGCGATGAAGAAAATCCCCTTTGAGACTTTCTGTCACTGTTGGAGCGGGAACTCCCATATCCCCCGAGGACTCTGCGACTTAGCTCATCTCATGTAGTCACCGGCACCGGTGGGTCGGAGAGAGAAATGGGAAGAGGCCGGTGACTGTCAGCCTCTGTGGCTTGCTTGCGCAGTGTGCTGTTTGCGTGTTTGTTCGGGCTGGCTGCTTAACTCGAAATTCACATATCCTTGGCTGTAAAGACAAAGGGCGTAGGCATATTTCGCGAATTTGATGTTGGGTGGAAGTAATAGCTACAGCTTTAGGATCCTTACAGTATCATTTTGAGATTCTATTTTCCTTTTTAATAAAAAAACGCCCCCCCCCCCCCAAAAAAAAAAAAAAAAAAATGAAATTAAAAGAAAAAAAAACGGAACAAAAATTCAATTAAACTTGATGGCACTTTTCCCCCTCACAGTGAAGGTCATGCACTATCTGCTTTATTATTTTTTTCAAACACGTTGAAGAAAAGTCCACTTTTTTGTCACTTAGGGTATTTGTACGCTGTTAAAATGACGTAGGGGGCTCTCGTGGCCTAGAGGTTAAGGTGTTGGCCTCTCATTCAAAGGTCCCGGGTTCGATTCCGGGTAGCGACCAAAAAATTTTCTTCTCTAAAATTGTCTCTTTTTACATCCATTCCTGATCTCTAACAATGTTCTGTTGTCTGCTTTCATTTCCACTTTCTGCCCCCACCCCCTCACCTCCTTTGCCCCCTCCTCTGGGCTCCTGACTCTTTCTGCAGCCTTTCTACTGCTACTCCTTGGCTCCTCCTAACTGCTGTCTTTCTGCCACACCCCTGATCTTCTGGTAGGAAAGATCTACACCTAGCCTTCTCGGACAAGGGCGAAAAATCTCGGAGGGCCCGTGTGCAAGTTGCGCACGTTAAAGATCCTTTGGTGGTCTAAAATCGATAAGAGTAGGCTTCGGCCGCCACCCGGGCAAAATTCAAAATTTCCTACCAACGAAAAAGTATTAGGTGTGTCCCGCGCGCTCATATGACCTTATGCAGTTGCGAGCGCCGTAAAACCCTATACTAAACTAAACAAACAAAATGACGTAAACGACGAGTGTCACATAACGCTTGATTAAATAAAATGCTTGATTTGGTAAAAGACTGAGATCATCTGCAGAGGTGCAGAAGTAAAGAGGCAAACATCAGATGTCACAAGGGCGTAAGCAAGTGTTTGACTGTCTTGTCAACAAATTTGATGTGTTGTCCTGTTCGTGACACTATAGTGTGAATTGAATACCGTGCGTATGATTAATATTGACTGTCGGGATTTCCTCACCCCTCTTGAATGATTAATGAGGGTTGATTATACGTCACATGTGTGTTGGAACACGTTCACGGGGCTTCTTATTTTCTTTCACGTGTATTTGCACTTTTGTGTCACGTTAAGTCCAGATACTCGCACACACTGTGAAGCGCGTAATGTGCATAATGTCACAATGTGCGATTATAATGTATCAAGGGCAATACTTGCAAATTTCTTGGTGCGTGACGCGTCCGTTCTATCGTAAGGATTTTTTAAAAATGGTCTATTTTAATGCTTTGCTTTAAATCTTTCCTTCCAACTCTGTTACGATAGTTTTTAACTTTCATCTCTGGTTTATAAGCGTTCAGTGGAAAGAGTTTTCGCGTGCGGGTTGCAAGGTCAGTTTGATAAATACGGATTGCAGTTATGAATCTCGTTTACCGCCGCTCAGTTGGGGGCTCAAACGCTCATTTCAGCTCTTTTCTCCCTTCCTCTTCAGGAACCTTCTTCTCTGGCCTCTATTTCTTTCAGTAGAATATGGGCGTCTTTGTATGTTGACGAATGAAATAGACGACGCACATTGCTTTTGTATTTGCACCAGGAAGATTTACTGTCTTTGCATACCACCACCCTTTTATTTTCATTCGCTTTACTTTCTGTTTTTCTTTTTGCCTTTTTATTTCTTTCAATATTTCTTTTAAAATAAAAAATAAAAAATCTCCCTTTGACAAAGAAGTGCACATTCAATAATGACGATTCGCGTTACCCGGATTTCAGTGCCGCGTTGAATTGTTTGAGCAAATATTCCTGAATCAGAGAACAGGAATGGTGAGTGCACTGTGACACAACTCCGGCCAATACGAAATCTGGGCCTTGCTTTTTGTTGTTTTCTTTGATTTTTTTTTCTTTTCTGTAATGATATCGTGTGGTGTCAGTCGCTGGTTGGCCGCGTGTTTTTTCAGTTTTGGTTTTCGTGTTTGCGCTCGTGCTTCTCTCTAATCGAACCGGAAATAGATTACAAACAGAGAGCGGCATTAGCTCTGAAAATGCCGATGGTTTTATTCTTTAACTTGTGAGGGAATAAAGGCCTATAAGGCTTCTGCTTGGTCAAATATTAGGTGTACGGCTAGGTCAAGCCCGCTGAGAACAGAGCGTGGAATAATTTTGAAGGGTTTCGAGTTACGAGACTGATCCGATGAATGGAAATATGATGGGGCTGTCTGCTTCGCTGTAATTTTTATTGTTATATGTGTAATCATTCTTTCCACGTTCAGTCGTACAAGCACCCACCGTTCGACTTCCTTCACTGTTTCCACACAGACTTTGGCCTGGTGACTTGCGAATGGCGGGTGCTTTGGTGTGGTTTGCTCCTTTCCTATCAACTATTAAACACCAGTCGTCCTTATTTCTCCTTCTTTTATCTGTAAATGTTACTCTCTAATCTTCTGCACTTTATGACCTACTTGTATTGCAAGTGCCGTAAAACTTTTACTAAAGTTAAAAACTCAACAACTTTCAGCCTTACAAGCGCACGTTGCTCGAC